CTCATCTTCAATCAATTTAAGTAGATATTGATGCGCTACCTCTACCTGCGCTCATTGGCCCCTTCTTTGCCCTAATTCGTTCACCTCTGTCTAACGGACCTATAACGTCTGCTGCACTCTCCGCCCTCCACAGCTTTTTTGTCTGCAACCTCATATCTGCAACCTCGTTATCTTTAGAGTTGGCGCTTGTCGAACTCAGTAGCACAGTTTCACACTGCAAATTCGAAGCTAGTGATTCTTCAGGAGACGAGGTTGTTCTCTTGAAGATCATGACTGTGATACATGATTGCATTGTCACAAGTAGTGTGGGTCCATTCCTTGGAGACGTCGAAATTTGCGAAATGTTGGAGACTGTCTTGACCACAGCATGCCAAATGAGGCTGAGCGGTGCGTTATAGCCTCTGTTCCACCATGGTGGTCGCTTACCCTGCATGTCTCAGAAATTCTGCGGCGATCTGCCGAGTCTACCATGGTTTCTATCGTCAGGACCATTTTCGGGCGCCTGCATGCTTTTGATCCTACTGCTGAAGAAGCTAGACTCCTGAATGAGGAGGAGCCTCAGCATGGGGAAATCAGCATGTCTGTGTCTGCTAATGTCACTGATGCCGGTGATTCTTTGCAGGTATCAGAAGAATTAACCTTGTCCGCACAGCATCATGCAGTTTCACTGGAAGATCCCGAGCGTTCTGCAGCACCTGAAGTCGAGGGCTCATCCCACGCACTTTCGCCGCCACGGCCGTGTAAGCCACTAAATCTAATCATTAACTTCCGTAAACTCATCGTAATGTAGACGGTCTACCAGCTCTTCTGGAACTGCTTCGTGTGCTTGTCAACATTTTGGATCCCAATGATCAAGTTCACACCGATTCAACGCGCCTGACTGCGCTTGGAATTCTCAATGCTGCTGTCGAGACGTCTGGAACAGTTATGAGCGACTATCCTTCTTTGTCAGCTCTTATTCTTGATCCTGGATGCAAATATCTTTTCCAGCTCGCACGCTCCGACAATTCTTTGGTCCTACAAGCTGCTTTACGGGCTATCACGACAGTATTTCAGACCATGCGTAAACACCTTAAACTTCAACAAGAGCTTTACCTTGCCTTCAGCATCGACAGGCTAGCAGCCCCCCCGCAGTTGAAACCAATAAGCTCCAAGAAGAATAACCCTACATCTCCACGTCCCAGCACCCCTGCAACTGGAACTCCCATCTTAGGACCAGTTGATACTGAGCTTGAGCTTGATAAGGGGAGTCCAGTTCCATCACGACCCCCTGTTCAGCCAGCCCGTGGCGATACCCGCGACTTGATGTTGGAAACTCTCAGTCAACTCTGCCGGCATCCCAGCTCTATGGTCGACCTCTACGTCAACTATGACTGCGATATAAACTGCGAGAATCTGTTTGAACGCTTGATCGAGTTTCTCACAAAGGTCGGTCGTCAGGCAAAACTTGCGCGCTCGTCGTTGAGATTATTGGCGATTTAGGGCGTATATCCATGGCAGTATTCTTCGGCGTCGGATGCACAACATTTACATTCCCAGTATCTATGTTTGGATCTGTTGCTTGCGTTCGTGGATGATATGACAGCACGAGCTGAGGGTGTTTGTATATTCACTATCCTGCTTTGTTCAATGTTCTGATGTGCTTTCAACTTTCAGCGAAGTGAACCATGGCCTTCCGTGAGTACTCATTGCCTCTATTCTCGATTATGCAGGTCATGACACAATACAGGATTTTATTTTGCCAGATTCATTGATACAAGACAAGTCTAGGAAGAAGCTTGTTCTTACCGGAGCAGCACGGTTCAACTCTAAACCAAAAATTGGCATCGCGTTTCTTGAGGAGAACAAGCTCATCTACTCCGACCTCTCCCCAGAGGTATCACGAACGCGCAGTCTTGCTATCTTCTTGAAGAGCTGCACGCGTTTGGACAAGCGACTGCTAGGAGACTATATCTCAAAGCCAGATAATTTGGAACTCTTGAAAGAGTTTATTGGGCTGTTCGACTTTAAAGATGTATGGTGATTCCCATTTATAATGTTCATCACACTAACGAGCAATTACGTCGTGTAGAAACCAATTGCAGATGCCATGCGCGAGATGCTGGAAACCTTTCGACTTCCTGGAGAATCTCAGCAGATCGCTCGGATTACAGAAACTTTTGCCTCGATCTACTTTGCATCTGGTCCAGGTAGAGCCCTGAACTCGAGAGTATGCAACTGTTTGTTCATTAAATCACAGCGGAAATCAAGACGGAAGATGCGGTCTATGTATTGGCGTACTCCGTGATCATGCTCAACACTGATCTGCACAACCCGCAAATACGAGTCAGGCATTTGCACTTCTTATGCGCTTTCTTTATCTTACAAGGCAACAGAAACGCATGTCGATAGAGGATTACCAGCGCAACCTGAGAGGTGTTAATGATGGTACTAACTTCTCGCCCGAGTTCTTGGTGGGTGGCTTTCTGCTGTTCAAGATCTATAGTGTTCACTCCCAGCAGCAAAGCATTTACGATTCCATACGCAAACGTGAAATTGTCATGCCTGAAGAGCATACTGGCCAACTCGGCTTCGAGTACGCTTGGAAAGAACTGCTCACCCGTTCACGGCAATCGGGTAAGTCGATTGTGCAGAAATTGTGGTTGTAGACATAACTAGATCTCCCATAGGTCCGTTCTTGATGTGCAATTCGGCATTGTTTGATCTTGACATGTTCAAGACCATTTGGAAACCATTGATATCTGCCATCGCTTACGCATTCATCAGCTTTGACGATGATTATGTTATTCAACGGGCTATTTCTGGTTTCCGTCAATGCGCCACGCTAGCAGGTCATTTCCATCTTCCAGATGTTTTTGATTTCGTGGTCGTTTCGCTCTCGCAAGCGACTAGTTTATTATCTGAGAATCTGCCGACACAGGTTCCCAATTATCCAGTGGTCGAAGTGGAGGGACAATCGGTCACGGTCTCATCGTTATCGGTCAAGTTTGGTACGAACTTCAAAGGCCAGCTGGCAGCCGTCGTGCTTTTCAATATCGTGAATGGAAACGGAAATGCCCTGCGTGAGGGCTGGACGCAAGTAAGTTGACGCGACAGGCAAGTATTTCTTTCCTTTACTAAACATGAGATACAGATCTTTGAAATGTTCCAAAACCTGTTTATGCATTCACTACTACCCACACGCATGCTCCAAATGGAGGACTTTTTGGGCGGTGTCACAATGATCCCCCTTCGCGGCGGCCAGCACTCGCGACCGGCACCACGAAGTGATGGGGGTTTGTTGTCGACGCTATCCTCGTACCTTATGACACCATACGGTGCCAGCTCAGAGAATCTCGTTCCTGAAGCTACGGATACAGAAGTAGAAAGCACGATGTGCACTATCGATTGCATAACATCATGTCGGTTGGATGAGCTTTATGCGCAGACTATGTGAGTCTCATTCAAATGATGAGCTTCATTTTCTCAAAATTTGTCAGACAACTTGACTCGGAGGCGCTCGTGGCTGCAATCCGAGCATTGGAGGCTCTTGCTCATGAACGGACAATCACGAAGTGGAAGCAAGAGTCCGATGAGCTGACCACCGCATTCAATACATCATCTGCAGGAGATGGCACATTTACTTTACCTTATGATCCTGCTTCCGTTTTTCTTCTCGAGACTATGGTCAGCATAACCTGTCAAACCTCGCGGTACATCGAGGACTTATGGCACGTATCTTCATCTTTATCGAAGATCATTTCTAATCTCTACTTAGGCCAATTCTATTTGAGCATCTGTCGGCATTGTTATCGGCATCTACGCACTATAGCGTTCTACTTATTGAGCGTGCGGTCGTTGCATTGCTTCGATTGTGTCTTATTCTCGCTCAACAGGCAAGTCACTTATCCTTATCTCCATATTGGCCTATGTAACTGAATAGCCCATGTAGAAAACACTTCGAGATCAAGTCTACGTATCGCTCGATTTGATCGCCGGGCTTCCCCCAATAGTAGCCAATTCCGTTGCCGAACAAATTGTCGCAGGTGTGACTTTGATTCTTCAAAATCGTGATATCGTTAGGTACCATCAATATTATCATACCTGCTTATCTATCGCTCACCGATGCCAACAGTTCGCAAACCGAGTGGAACCTTGTCTTCGCAGCCCTTCGGTCAACGACTTCCCATCCAGAGGCTGCTCGTTCAACATTCGACTTGGTTTTGAGTTTTGTCACAGACGGACAGTCGCAGTGGATGACACCGGATAATTTCAATGGTCTGATCACAATCCTGGATGAGTTTGCAAACTCCGCCGGTCAGTCAATCATGATTCCCCAGAAGGGACGACGAGTACCTTCGCAGCCACCACCCAAGTAAGCAATTTTTCTCTATCATAATCTGCTTACTGATCTTTATCCAGCGCGCCGCCTATCGAGCGCGGGAGGCGATCGATCGATATCCTTTATGATATGAAAAGGTTCATCGCACCTTTTGCTGAGTCTGCTGGTCTGCAAACGGGTCAAGGTACGTGAGCGCTCGCAATCACAAGTCATTCTTGACAGTTGCCACGCAATGCAGTCTGGCGCCAATACTGCCTGCCTTTGGCGTTATCGTTAAGCAAGCAGTCGACAAATCCCTCACGACTTGTCCGGCACACTGCTATCAGTCAACTTCAACGTCTGTTGCTTGGCCCTCGATTTGTGTATGACGAAAACGACCATGGTCAAGTCGAGGAGATCTTCAATAGTATCATCTTCCCCCTTGTTGATGAACTCCTCAAACCCCAAGTACAACAATTCGATCCACAGGGCATATCAGAGACTAGGTTGCGAGCCTCGGCCTTGCTTTGTAAGGCATTTATGCACTTTGAGGTCCGGGAGGATCGCACGAAGTCAGACATCAGAATCTTGTGGATCGAGATTCTGGATCTGCTAGACAGGCTTATCAATGCCGGGAAGACCGAGCAGCTGGTAGGCCTTCATTGATGTTTCACATATCGTTTGGTTCTAATGATCCTAGTACGAGGCCGTCTCGGAATCTCTCAAGAACGTGGTTCTTGTGATGAATGCAGCAAACATTCTTGTCCCACCTTCCCAGGAAGACCAACGTGACGAACATCAACGTACCTTATGGACAGCCACGCAAGCCAGGCTAGAACGTTTTCTGCCAGGATTTCTGACAGAAGTGATACCGACTCCACAATTGCAGTTGCCACCTTCAACGCCCGTTCCAGGTTCAACCTCTGCAGTTCCTGCTACGGCACCTTCTACAGCATAGGGCACATTTACATACACGAGATTGTTGCTGCTAGAGTAATTTAATCAAGATAAAAAAAATTGGTCGAGAACATCAGAAGAATTTCATTTTGGATGTTCTGCGATGTTGATCGTTAAAATGCACGGATGCCTTACACGATAGATCTACTAACCTGATACGCGCATAGATAGCTAGAATTGCAACTATCGGCGCAACAGTATACCCGACAAACCGCACTACTGGCTGGCTATGGGAGGTCGCCCAAGTAGACCACGCGCCTCCAAGGTAAGCAGTAATCAAGAGAAGGGGGAATAAGACATAGCCAGACAGCCTGTGAAACGTATTAGCAATCATCGCTGGCATTCCCCTGACTACCCACGTTACCTGTGGTATTTCCATAACATCTTGGCCTTCATACCGCCCCCAAATGCTGCACCTCCATACCACACGCTTCCGCCGCCAAGGATCACTTGTCCCACAAGCCACCCGACGGAAATGAGTCCGAGGGTCTGTGTCAAGGTAGTCAGAGAATTCAGAAATAGAATAGAAACAAGAGATTACCCCATGCCACGTCGCGAAATGTCCATGTCCATCACTGAATTTGTGGATCTCGATTGCTAGGGTGCCCAAAGCGATACAAGGGAAGCCAACGGCAAGCATCGTTTTCTGGTGTCGTTGAAAACCAGCTGCTTTAGTTTTGGGGTGTGTAGTTGGTTGGAGTGTCAGGATCCCTATAGACAAGTACTCAAGTGAGCTTATACTTTGAATGCCAACGGCCGAATACACACCATAGGTGAAGCAGCCGATACCTAAGCTCTGGAGAAGCGGGTGGACGGCGAACCACCCCACTGATGTAGGGTTGTTGGTGAACACGATGAACCAAGTGACGCATACGAAGATCTTCCAAAGGAAACGTCCACTTAGGGGTCAACTCCTCACACGATATAAGAGGTTATTCGCCTCACCAGCATGGAAGCCTGTCATGACGCAAGAATGAGTGAAGATGACGAAAAAGCACACGAGGGCATGCACGCACGAGTGCTCCATATGCAGCGAGTTTATCGCCCCGGCGTTCCTCGGATTTGTTAGCGCTGTCAGAGCCCATGGTTGGTGTCGGGAAAGGCAGATGCTCCGCTGAGGTTTCTGCTTCACTGCTGGTGTCTAGGAGTCTGTACTGTTCTTCAGATTCTGTCAGTTCGTCGGAAGTATGCTCTGGCATGATGGAGGGACGATGGTGAAACGCGCAGTTTCTACTATGTATGTGGACACTTACTAAAAGTGTGTCGTTGGATGTCGCAACCAATTCCAGTGCATTGGCAATACTAGGCTTAGTACTAGTCTGGTAGTGCCACGTAACTGCAGTTGGCGCCAATCGCAAGCACCCCAAAGACCGAATCATTTTGTGTGTGCAATTGCAAGTAGTATTACTTACCGAATTATGTAAAGTCTTGCATGGGCCAGCCTAGTCCTTACTCACTGATCCAAGAACGATGTAAAATCTAAACGATCACTCATGACAAAACTGAAAAATTTGGATGAAATTATAACACGACATTATTCCATTATTGACCACAATATTAGTGAGTACGTATAGCAAACAAGCAAGATACAACAAATATGAACAGTGACATGATGAGTGATCACGGTACGTAAAGAACATGAATACGACTATAGAATGCAGGAGAGAAGGTTAACAACAACAAAAAACATTCCAGACTATAATCACAACAAAGCAACTTATGAAATAAATGCACACACCGACGGTCGTTCATGGAATAGTTTAACGGCCTTCGAGTGCTGGCCAAGAGCCCTCCGCTTTCCACTTGTCCACCACTTCGCGGAGCGCGTCGTGCGTGAACTGCGGACGTATGAGCTTGTATCCGATAACTTTCTTGATTTTGCTGTTGTTATAGGAAAGTTTGCGCCGTGATAGGGCCCAGTGGTCCATATAGGCATCGAGTGGGGTCTGTACAATCGGAGGATTGGATGTCTGAAGCATTTCAGTCCAGGTACCAACGTGGTGCTCGTTGATTTCTTCGACAACGTCGTCGAGTTTAAGCTTCGAAAAGTCAACAAAGCTTTGATGATGTAGTGTAACACAAGCGCACCTTTGCCATGGCATTTTCAAAGAACGAGTAAAACTCAAACGTCGTGCCGAAAAATTCTGTGATCATTGACCCTCCCTTAGCCATAGTCATCTCTGAGTCGTCAACCTGCGTAAAACATGAGGAAAGGTAAACCACCAAGTGAGACCTTACGTACCAAGTTAAAGACAGGTGCTACGGGTTGCGCATCAGGTATGCACGTGCCCTCGGTATCCTTAACCTTGGTTCTGTCATTATGAAAATAGATTTCTCTCTCCCGCAGTTAAATTTGCCTGCTGACGGCCGAGTGAAGCTATCCACTTGGCACATGCCCATAAACCGCCTGAAACATCATCTATGTGTACTGTGTTGACGCCGTCTTTTCCCGGGCCCCATCTGAAACGGAGATGAGGGGGGATTGAGCGGAGGAAGAGGTCTAGACTCACGGTGTTTTCATCGGTTTATTCATGTAACCGTAGATGGACGCGACGGTGATCACTAGTGGATCTATCAAGAACGTTAATCTCGTGTCATTGAAAAAAAAAGCGAGGAAGATAAATTTACAAAGTCCGAACTCGACGTAAGGGCCATATACAAATCCAATTCGCAGGACGACAAGAGGAAGGCTGGATAGCAAGTCAGAAATGACACATTAGGTAAGAAGAATTCAAGAACCTACTCATCAATAGAAGCTAGCATTCGAAGAGTTTCATGCCACCAGACGTCTAATGGTCGCACAGGCTTGACATCTTCCTTCTCGTCATGCGGACCCTTGTCTGAGGTTTCATACACGGGTTGCTGTAGTCGTACGTAAGCATTGACTTTTCTACGGGCAGCCTCCAGACCGATGATGCGAGCGACGTTGAAAGTCAATTTGATGGCAATCTAGAATGGAGATGAGAAGATTGGTCTATTTTAAGAGTAGAAACAAGTCGTACAACTTCACTGCGGTCATGACTGATCTCACCGGTGAGATCGAAGACGTATGAGTAGGGTGCCTTGCCTGGCGGAGGATCGAAGGCGGACGCAACCACAGCTTGAAAGAGATAATGAATAATGCAATGAAACGTGAAATGAGTACATACAAGGAATGGTTAGATTAGCTTGCCGATATTCAACATCGGGTTGAGCCAGGACCTTTGGGAACTCTGCGCCCAGATACCTAAGGAATCGCCGATCAAAACGAGAGGGACGCAAATGTAATAAAATTTACACACGTTGTGGGCGGATTAACAGAGAATCTATCAACGATACGAAGGTGCTATTATGGATAGATAGAACCGGTGAGTGAGATGAGTTATCGATGAGAACCAATCTGAGAGATCTGACATACCGAAACGAGTCTCTCCCCCTCAGGTGGGACGAGTAATGCTGCCAGTGCTCGTGAACATGTATTAAGACCACCTGTACGGGTGAATTTGAAAAAGTAATTGTGAGCGGCTTGAGACCATGGCCAATAGTGATTAGCAGTTACCGAAAATGATAGCACTCGGCTTTGAAGACATGTAGTGGACGCTGCTGAAGACGGAGAGGAGAGGGAGAGTGTGCGTGGAGGGATGATTAGTTTCACTGACAGCGATTTCGAGATTAGGGTGATTTATATGCCAAAGTTTTATACCATGTTATTACTGTACCCGACCGCGTCGCGGAGGCAACCTCGAGAGAAAGAAGTTCCCTTGCTCTATTACGTAATATATAAACTTTCATCCGAAGAACCATAAATTTAAAAAAGGAACCGCTCCCCGGAATTTTTTAGTCATCATCCCTCACCGATAGGCTTCACCTAGCGCTTTTACTTAGTAGCCGTTACCAGCTACTAGTAGCATTATCCACATGCACCTGCACCGCAAAAGTACTTCCTCACCGACATTTTCGCGGAAGAATAACGTAAATTACAGCAGGTACCCGTACCTGACCATCCAGGCCTACACGTTCTTCACAGAAAAACATAAGGTATATGTTTTTGGACAATTTATCTAAATATCAGGGTCACTAATCTACGCCGCGATCGATCAGTGACTCGGCGAGCCCACGGTCGGAGCAATTTTCACGTCAAAACCACCCTATCTTATGTACAATCATGAATCATTCCGTAATTTCGTTGCCGCCGGACTAATGGGACTTTATGGGAGCTTGTAGGCACAAGTAAAACCCTCAGGCGCGCCCAAACTTTTATTATTTACTTTCTGCGCGGAACGGATATAATCAACGCTATCTATAAGTTCGAGTCCGCGTGCGCCGTGGTCCCTTTAATCTTCCCGTCCCATTTGTTCCAGGCGCTCGTACACAGAAGAGAAGTCCTTTTGTGCCAGATCCGGTCGATGCCTCAACGTCTCGGCATAGAAATTCTGCGCAGATTTCCCTAGTGGTAATGGACTGTCGGTAGAGGCCGCGACATCAGTCGCGAGAAGCATATCCTATACGACATTCAGGAAGCACATCTTCGCCGCCGGAAGTCTAACTTACCTTTAACATCAATGCAGTCGCAAATCCGCCCTCATAATTACGTTCGCATGGAGGAGATTTGTCGGCAAGCGAATACGGTACCGGATTGTTGACTGACGAAGCCCAGCAACCGCCGGTAGAACTGTTGATCACCCCTGCAAGTATGCGCGGATCCAGACCCAGCTTCTGTCCGAGCAACATTGCTTCCCCGACGACAATCTGTTGCACTCCAAGAACAAGGTTGTTACATATTTTGGCGCCAAGACCAGCGCCTGATGGACCACAATGAATAATGCGACCGCCCATGTGGGTGAGGATCGGCTGCGACAGCGCAAAAGCACCCTCGGTTCCGCCAACAAGAAAAGCCAGCGTACCCGCTTTGGCACCTATGACGCCTATTTGGATAAAGTTAATATTATCGTACGTGTAAGCAGGGGTGCGGGGGCAATGTATAACAATAGCACGTACCACCCGATACGGGTGCGTCCACCATTTGCGCCCCTGCAGACACCACCTCCGCCGCAACGCTTCGGGCAATTCCAACATCTAGCGTTGTAGAGTCGATGAAAAGAGAGCGCGCCAACTCCGCGGCGCTCAGAGACTGCAACGCAGGGATGACCCCGTTTGCTTCAGAATAAACGGTCTGGACCTGAGGCGAGGATGGAAGCATCGTCAATACTGTTTGAGAAGCATGCACTGCCCTAAATTCCAAGTGGCGATGTCGTAAAGGGGAAGCTACGCGGGTCGAATGTAGGAATGGGCTTACTCTTTGGGGGTGAGAACAATGTCGATGTGTGCCCCAGGAAACTGGGCCATAAAGTTCTGACGGAAGGTAATCGCACTGGTTGGGAGCGCGTCGCAAACGACAAAGCGGGTATCAGGTGATTCTGCGAATGTCTTTGAGAAGAAGTTGAAGGCCATCTCTGAGCCCATTCGACCAAGACCAATGAATGCAGCGCTCTTGGCACGCATAACTTGTCGCTCAAGCGACTGAAGGACTCTAGCAGTATGTCTCATGGTGAGAGCGACGTTCGGGAGAGAAGTGCAAGTACTAGTCAAGGTCCGACTTACCTCGTGATCATTTCAAATCATGCGGGGAAGCGTGCCGGATCGAGCGCGTGATTGTCACGTGCCGAACTATTATTATGTCAGCTACACGTCCGTCGTCTTGCTTGTAGTACTTCGTGAATCCGTCTGGTACTGGTCTGGGTTATTATTACAGTCCTCTGGGACAATAACTGACGTGGATTTACAAATTCAAGATGCTTGCAGCTGCGACTTCGTTTTTCTCCAGAACAGCCATATCTCAGTCGTATAATATTGCCTCGTCATATGGCAGCAGGCCCTCCACCCCAGGTCCACCGGGATCTTCAAACTCGCTTCCATCTCCAGCGTTGCCATGCGTTAAAGTTGGTCTCTGGAGAGTTCAGGGTGCATCCCACAAAGTCACGAACAAGAAAGTTTCCGTATGGACCCTTGACAAACGCGCTGAAATGGAAGGACTGGGTCCTATATCCAGGGAGCGAGTTTTGGAGGTTTTGAAGGCAGAGGTATATTTACAACGTCAATTAACCCACCGCTTTCTGCTCAGTCGTCGTTCTTTAGGCGGCAGCACTAAGCAAACTGCGCCATCCTTCTATCTTGGGTAGGGCATACAAAACTCTCCCTACGTACGCATTTTTGAGCTTACTATTCACAAAGAAATGGTTGAACCCCTTGAAGAAACAAGGACCGAACTGATATTTGCAACGGAACCGGTGCTCTCGTCACTTGATCTTTCGATACCACGTGGATCTCGCCATACGCCTCTAGTTGAGCTAGACGAAATTGAAGTCCGTCTGCTTCTTTTGATGCGGAACGCCGTTAATAAGTTTAACTCCACCCAGATTCAGAAAGGCATACTGCAGCTATGCAAAGGCTTATCTTTTCTGCACACTTCTGCGAGATTGATTCACACCAATTTGAAACCTGAATGTGTGATCATCAACGACGTCGTAAGTGTTTTCCATTCCTGATGGCCATCCATGTGGCTACATTCTAGTCGCCGCTTTTTAGGGTGATTGGAAAATTTCTGGCCTCGGCCTTACCATCCCCCTCCTTGGTGCGGATGGATCTCCGACCCGTTGGGAATTTCCTGGTTTTGATGGTCGCGTGCCGTCATACATTCAGCGTTCTTTTGATTATATCGGTGTGTGCAGCGCTGCTATCACAACATGTGCCATCTGACCCATTTCCACGGATCGACAGCTCCGGAATACGCATTGGATGAAGTCCTTATCACAGCATCAGATATGTATTCCCTCGGTTGTCTGATATATGCCGTACACTGTAAAGGCAGTCCGCCGTTCAGAAACCATGGAAATGTAGGCGGCCTTAGGGACAATGCTGGTCGTCCCGTCCCGGACATCGGGCAGCTCGACGCAGATTTGCAAGGTTCTTCTACTTCGCTTGAGCTTATTATAGAATCATTGAGGCACAACTCTATGTAGACCTCCTTCGATCGCTCATTACTCGTGGTTCGAATAGCCGACCGACCCCATCGACGCTCCCTTCGCATCCATTCTTCTCCTCACTACCGATCTCCACACTTAACTTCCTAGATCGCTCGAACTTCACTGCAAAGACGCGAGAGGAGAAAATTTCATTCATGCGTGGCCTAACAGGGGTTTTGGATCGCTTCTCAGAAGGTCTACGCACACGGAAAATCTTACCATCCTTGCTTGAGGAGGTACGTGTCCTGTTCCTGTTTCCAATTCAAGCTGCAGAACTGACGGAACGCCGTTTCGTTGGCAGATGAAAGACACGCATTTGCTTCCGTATATCCTTCCGAATGTATTTGCCATCTCCAACGTTCTTTCTGCGCCGCAGTTTGCTTCGCTTGTTCTGCCTAGTCTTAAGCCCCTGTTCACCGTCAAGGACCCGCCACAGAATATGCTGACGCTTCTGGACAATCTCCACATGTTGCAGAGTAAAACTGAAAAGGGTGTTTTTCGCGAACGTGAGCAACCGAATCGGTATTACATCTCCCACAGTTTACATTATTTTCAGAGGTTCTCCCACTTGTGTATCATGCGCTGGAGTCTGAGCATGCTATGGTGAGTTTGTCAATCAATGACATGTCATAGCATGATCCGATTACGTACAGGTACAAGAGCGTGCCCTAAAGGTGGTTCCAGATCTTTGTGAGACAATTGATTACGCCGAGGTTTCCAGCGTACTGTTCCCCCGAGTGGCCGTGAGTTACAGATGCGTCGTTCATGAAAAGCGCTGAATCTTGCATCGTGCAGCTGGTGTTCACAAAAACCAGAATATTAACAGTAAAGGTCGCTACGCTGGTAACGTTCCTTAGCTTGGTAAAAACCCTTGATCAGGTTTGTGTAACCCTTAATATTTTTCTTAGACGCTCACACCTCCAATGTAGACAAATCTCACGCAAAAACTCGTACCACTACTGTCAAAAATTCGTACGAAGGAGCCTGCTGTTATGGTAAGGTATATACGTTCTTACCATGGCTTTTATTCTCTGACAGCGTTTAGATGGCAACTCTTGCGGTACAAGAGGCTATGGGTGTTAAGGTTGACAGAGAAGCTGTGGCTACCCTCATCCTACCGCAATTGTGGACAATGTCGATGGGTCCTTGTGTGTATCATCCCTTGTTTCCCGGCGGTTTGAACTGAGAGAAATTATAGTATTGAACATTGAACAATATCAACGCTTCATGAGTGTTATCCGTAGGCTCGGTGATCGCGTGGAAAAGGAACACAATCAGTTCCTCCGCGACTCGCAAAGGATTGAGGATCGCTCAGCAACGAACACCAATGGTGTCACGTCGCCTGCCTTCCGATCCGGTGTCGATTTTGAAAGTTTGGTGGGGCGTGCAAACGGTGCTACTGTGAAGCCGGACACAGTGATCGATGGAGATAGCTCAAAGGGATGGGATGATGACGTGTGGGGGACCATCTTCAGCGACACGCCTGAGGTAACTTGTTGGTATTTGTTGACAACACTCACGCTGATCGTCCCCATCAGCCATCACAGAGTCCACCTCCAGGCCCTGCAGTTTCTACCATACAACCATCAGTTGCCCTATCAAGTCAGGCACATTCACTACCTTCGTCACCACGGATATCAACGATGCCATTAGTGTCTCGGCCGTCACGATTAGGTGCCAAGCCTGTTCCATCTACCACCTTTGATCCATCTACTTTCACATCACCCACACTACATCTCAGTCAGCCAAATCGTATCTCATCTCCATCAGCACAACCCCAGCGACTTGCGAGTTTCGCTATGCCACCGCCCCCAGTATCACCTGCACAAAAACCCAATTACAATATCTCGTTATCCGACTTCGCCGCTATGTCTCCGAGCACGATTCCTTCTGTGCCGAACTATGTTCCATCGGGCCATACCACATTGCAGCCTACTTCTTCTGCATTTTCGATGCCATCACCTCCTCTACACGCATCACCACTTTCGATGGGGAGCATACTAGCACCTACTCGACCGACAACTGCCACAAGGCCAATCTCAAAGGACGACTGGGGAGACTTCGACCCTCTCAAGTGAAGCGAAGTCGATTGCGTATAAGCACGCCGGATGCCATTGTCGGCACTGTGAGTCCCTGCGATTAGGCACTTCACGTTGTTTATCATCGCCTTTGCGCTGGTCAATGGTCATCTAGAGTTCCATCTTAGCTATCTCATATAACTACGCACGTGGTCGGAATTTTAGCAAACTGATCGTTAATTTCCAGTTCAGCATCTGATGGATTAACTCATATTTCTTCTTAAGCCCTGCGCAAGTCGGTTTGCTTCCGAGACCTATTGTTTGACTCAAAGCTCCGTCGCCACTGTCGACTCTCCATGACATCGTCCCTCGATCATGCAGGAAGCAGTATGAGCCTGTATGACTGAAGATCGCACTGTGGATCACTGTATACAGAAAACACCTATTCGTTTAAAACTCTACTACGTACACTAGATCAGCGTCCGGTTTATCGACCTCGCCTTGACATGATTAGAGTCCCCGACTGCCAACGTTAATGGAAGAAGGGCTCTTGCGATCGGCTTCCCATCTCCTTGGTAAGACTAGTCAAGATGGACATCTAGAAGTTGGAGAACATCATAATAGAATTCCATGGTACTAGCAGAACCCAAAATTAAAGAAGACTAATTTATGTTTAATTCGATGCACACAAAACATGCCAGGAACAAGCGAGTCAGGGGCTGGCGCCAGCGCCGTTACAATATTATGCTGGCGCATTGGAACTTAATTAAGCCGGTTCCACTTGGACGCCGTCCAATGGTCGAATATACGTCGCTTCAACAATAGTCTCGGGTCCTTGCGAACCGAATTGTGTAGCAACACTGTCGGCATCGATGTCAAGGTTCAATAATGCCTTCAAAATAAGGAGCGCCCCCATCTTTGAGGCAACGACATTTCCTTCCGAGCAAGTAGCGCTGTGAATGCCTGTGAAGATGATCAGTAACGAGAATGAATCTTTAGAAATAGACTCGCATTTGTCACAACCATCCTTGCATGGACAGGTTTCCACCGTGTCGTGTGCCTGTCGCAAAACTTCGCCGCCTGCGACATCACTATGAGAACTAAGGCGATTCATGGGGACAGCATGCTCACTGTGATCAAATGCCTGGGCAGACACGCTACCTTTCCGAGATGCATCATACAATATTAGCCTATACTCCGACGTGAGTGAACTGATGATACTCGGTAATGAACGAGCAGATATACCTAGCGGGACGCTTCCGCTGCGACTCCTCTTTATTATATTCTTTCTCTGCTGCCTTACATTCTGTCCGCAAGTCGGGAGAAAGAGCAAAACGATTCATCCATGCATGCGAGGCAGAATGGATGGCTTCCGCAAGGTTGAAATGTTTTTCCTTCATCAATCCAAGTAAATCTTTGGGCACATCGAACCAGAATCCGGTGACTTGTCTTTCGTACGGTGGCGTATCAACGTCGACAACATCGAGTACCTTGTTACCCCTAAATAGCGACTTCGAGAACGACAGAATATTAGCCAACATCTACACGCACCTGATTTTCCTGAAGCCTGCGCAATAAGATATCAAGTAATGAGCTTTTCACGCCATGGAATTGAACCTACCAAATACAACAGTTGTCACATCGACCCCTATGCGGGCAATGAACATTGTTATTGTCCCTGAGATGATCCACTCACTTCCGAAATATGCTCTATGTGGCGACCTCGCAATCTCTTTGATTCGATGCGTTTGCATGGCATCCACATTCCTGTTAGTCCAGTCAAGGTGATGAATTGTATAACGAGGAAGTACTTGCGTGTAGTCTCTGCAGTGTGCCTTCATGAGTTGTTATGGCGGAAATGGGATATGAACGCACCTTGGCTTAGTGATCCAGTTGACATCTGCCCTCACAAGTCTAGCTACTTTTGTATCATGACTGACTTCTTGAACCTATGCGACAGTCAGGAGTGGCTGTGATATCTAATCAATGGTGCTTACAACAAATGTCAATCCTTGATGCATGAACTGAAGACAAGCATCAGTGTGTGATCTCAGAAAATGAGATAGGATTGCGCACCACTCCGCCCTCGTATAGCTCGAAAATAGCTCTTGAAAGCTCGATCTCTTCTATGATCCTTGGTACTCCATTTGGTAGCCCGACTTTCGTCACATCGATAACGGTGTACTTATCGTCATCCGCGCCACGAATTGAGATATGCTTGGCTGGATATGGGAGAAACTTGGGGTGCGGGTGATACCTATGCGAGGTTAGCAGTAGACCCAGGTATGAAGCAGAAAACTACCATCCGTCTTTGTCTTTCCGTAGCTTTGAATCGCACAATTCGCCTAGCGAGGGACCAAAGTAAAAGGCATCATCCTTGGACAAAGGCATTTCATGAGCAGCGCATTGCAAGTGAGCCTCGATGACTACTTTGCTCTCAATATCGACGGTCAGGTCATCCATAGGCTGATTGTAGAGTTTGTCCGGGAATTTGACATAGTTTCTGTCTATAGGGAGGTCTTCAGCTACCAATACAGCCAGTGAATCGCGGGATCTCCGCCCAGCACGACCAGCCTGCTGCCGCTACAAATCCAATAACTTAGCAAGGCGATCACGAATATTTCTGAGAGGCACTGACAAAGTTGGCAATGCCAAATGGAAAACCAAGCATGATGACAGCGTCCAAAACACCGATGTCTACACCAAGCTCAAGAGCATTAGTTGCAACAATACCAAGTAAGTGTCCCGAAAAAGCTTCATATTCAATGCGACGCCGATCCTGCGAGTCCCTAAGAACTATGTCGCCTAAAGTGTACAACACTGACCTCCTGAGAGTATCCTGATAATGGAATGGAATGAGTTGCAAGTTAATCAGATGCCCCAAACAACTCTGACCTCCTCTGTAAGGCATGACCTTCGCAAGAACGTCTAGGCGCCCCTCGGCGCTAAGTCGTTGGCGCAGAGATTTCATCGCCTTCGGTCAACATCAATCCCAGGTCAACTCAAAGTTAAGTGTCATTCTGCTCACCAGCTCGCATGCTCTTCGAATCTGAATTCTTTTAAGTTAGGCCACTGAAGCCCAATTAAGTCTGGATTATGACACGGACCTTGCAGAATAAAATGACTCGAACACCACGCATCATCAAAAATATCATGAGGTTGATGGCCTCACACGTTGGGCCGGATTGTCCGAGTTTTGCAACCCCAGAATCCATATCTTTAACACTGAAAGGATCCCAAACTAAGTAGTCTTTCTTTCCAGATGGAGCCCCATCCTCAACAATTTCTTCCACGTCCTGCAAAAGCTTTCAGAAGAGACACAATGAGAAGCATAAGAACATACTTCGACCCCAAACAGACGTTTCATATGTTGACTTGGCTTCGAGATGGTAGCACTGCACGAGACAAAGACAACTCGCTGGTCTGACAAAGATTTGGTCAACAAAAAAATGAAAGAAGCAAACTGGAACATACTCCCTACAGCTGCACAGATCCTGCGGAAACGGCGGATGATCTGAGCAACGTGACTTGGAAGTTTTCATGAGGCTGGAATGAAATGGTGCACCCATAAATCTCACCTCCCAAACAAATTGGAATAGTAATGCAGTTCATCGACCGCTACGAGTTTAATATTCTTTATGAAGCTTAGAATATGTCAATGTCAGCGTCAAGTTAAAAATATACAACAGCTCACGTCCGCCAAAGCTCCTCGTGAGGTAAAATAGAGGCGTGCAGCATGTCCTTGATAGCATTGTCAACAGACTCGACGCTACTTGTTTACGCGTACGTACAAAGTTGGTGAAGATGACGGACGCCGTCTCCCGAATGGCTGGAGAAATTACTAATTATCACGCGCAGAATGCAGCAGGCTTACCTCTCCGGTGATCTTGTGGGGTGTCTCCATCATACGTTGCTACCTTGATGTGCTGCAGTCCGGGGCAGGCACACAGTAACTGTTCCAGCGCAGTACGCTGATCCTGAGCTAAAGCCTGAAAAAAGTATCATGAAATGCGAGCATCATTATACAATTGAGGACAAACCTTGGTGGGGTATATGAGTATGGCTGTAGCATTAGAGTTTTCTTCTAGGAACTTTAGTAAAGGAACCTGAATCCAACTTTCTTCAGTTCAGGATTTCCAGAAGCGGTTCCACAGAAAGCACCTGATATATCACACTTTTTCCAGACGCAGTACTGGTCGAAACAATGACATGCTTCCTCTGCACAATAGCGTTGATGGCAGCCGCTTGATGGTAATATAGTGATGTTATATTTCGCGACTCTCGCAACGCTTGTTGTATCGTATGCGAAAGAGGCTCAGCCAGCAATCCTGCGTACACGTTATCAGAAATAAGAATTACCCACAAAGAATCTTGCCACCTTCGATAGCTACCTTCTCCTTGAATGTCCGCCGGTCGGCAATTTGATTTTTATACCATTGTTGTTTTTGGATCTCAAGTAGTATATCGTCAATAGAGGGCCGATCTTTGGGTTCGGGAATTATCAGATGTTGAGACTCGTTAGCAAGTAGGACTTTCTTTGTGGAAGGGTTTACAGGGATGTGGTCTCTTGCTGCTGCTTGAAGCAGATCCATGGACACCTCTCCCTCTGGAGTAGCCTTCATAAGCCTATTTTAGGAGTCAACAATAGCAAAAATAATGCGCGTATGCATACTCGACGACGGCATCTTTAAAGCGCTGGTTTCGTTTATCAACCAAATTACTGGTTTTGCGTCAGTATGTATTCCATTACACCCAAACAACAAGGATCACCCTGATTTGATGGTTCTAAAGTTCTCTGCAAATTCTAGGACGAGGACATGTTCTTCCTCTTCATGACCTGGGAGTCGATAGCCCAATGGTGTGTCGACGGCAAGAGATTGTGGGTGTAGCATGAAGTCAGGACTGTTTGAGCGCTTATTCTGTTGAGAAACCGCCTCTCCATGTATTCGGAGGTCACTGCGAGGAATATAAGCAAACTCGACGACATCCGGAAGAAGGGCTCTGTGATGGATGATTGTAATCACTGTTGAATGATAATCGTGTCCACTTACTTGAGTTCGGCTACTTTAGACAGTTCAAGTGGTCTGTAGTCATATTTGCTTGATTATCATGACTTTTTGGGAGCAAACGAACCTTTTCAGAAGACCTTCGGCGGAGGAACGAATCATAGGAAATGTGGTTGCAATATGTCTGTGGGAAGATACAAACGCAAGAACTGTATTCAATGCCTAATGTCTCATATGAGTGTATCTCAGACATGCGCATACTGTAACTCGCCTTGAAAATCTGTAGTGACATGAAGACTCAAACCGAGTCAGAAGAAACGGGTTGGTTGGGTTGGCATACCTTGAACAACTTCAGGTTGCGTTCCACGATACTCAGCGGAAGAGTTCATCTATATAAATACTCAACTCACATCTTGAAAATACTCAGGCCATTCTAATGTTTCTTTCTCCTTGTCCTGGTTCCTAGTACTTGTCGCACTTGAAACCTTCTGCCTTTTTGATGCTCCTTTGGTGGAGCCCGCAGAACGCTTCATACTCGCAAGAGCCAGTGATACAACGTTGAACTACAATTCAAAATTGTTCAAGTCTGCCTCCTAGTCACGAGCTGAAAGTAAGTTTCTATGATCACAGCGCGTCTCTAAACGCGTGACATCACAAATTGCCTGTTGTACATATTTGTCACGCTTAGATTCTCCCAGTCACACTTGCTTTTCTAGCACCAAGTTTGAAGTAAGTCGGAATCCCTACACTGAATAGTACCGACAATTCAATTGTATCAGATGTCCGCTATACCGCATACTCTCCGAGTCGTTCCAAGGATTTCTATAAAGCCGGGAAGTAAAGTTCTCCCACCACCGCTCACGAACCAGAATGAGCGTGCATTCAAAGAGCCTCTGCTCCGGATTATGGCTCGCAGGCAACAAGAAGCGGGTGATATATGGCCACCAAATTTGCGCATAGAGCCGCATGTCACGAAGACAGCTATTGGAAAAGCGCCGAAGGAGATGCGTGTTCAGCTGAAGAGATTGTTGAAGGAACGATGAACACGGCATGGATGTATCATGTAAGTGGTACAAGTTTTTCTCCTCTCTTGCCTCGCCTTATACATGTATCGTTATTACAGTATGCGCATACCTTTTCCGGCATGTCAAACATGTTCAACGTTATGATTGGCTACTGTAACTTCAAAATATATAATCGTAGTGCTGCTGACGCGCCAATCCCTGACTCCGCCGGGTCTAATTTTCCTCTTTGCGATTTCTTGTTATTGTTCAACACTCGTTTGCGCTCAATTTCTAATATGACAAGACCTGCAACATCTGTCCCAGGGACTAACCGCTTTGTCCAGAGATTTCCTGCTCTGTGAAAAGTTACACTCGTGCACTTCCTCTCTTTGACCTGACGTTAATTCTCCCCAACTATAGCTATGTACGGTTCGCCTTTGAACCTCCCGTTATTCGTTTCTTCAATGCTTGATGTTGCCAATCATCATCAAGCTGTGGGTCTCTCTCTTTTCTGCATGCTGTTGAGTGCTATCGCTGTTATATTTTACACTGCTTACTCGTAGGCTCTCTTTCCTGTGCATTGGCTTGTCCTTTCGCGCAGTATGCGATGTTCGTCTGCAAAGTCCCGTGCTGCATCGCACGCGTTCTTGACGAATGTTGTTGTCCGCTGTATGCGGTTGCGCCAGTTACTATAATGCACTTTATTACCCTGATTGACATCCATTGTGCTTCGAATCCCCTGAAAGTGTTGTGTGAGCATCTTGTCGACGTGTAGAGTTCTGAAGTGGCGCTCATCTGCCCGCTCGGCTAGTGACCCTATCATGTCTCTTCCATGTATAGATAGCGAAAATCTGTGACATTTTACATTTGCGTAATCATCTTCGCGTCGTTTAGCCCTTTTCTCGCTGTACCTATGTCTCGTCTCTCCTTATTTGCTCCTTGCTGAGGCTCGCTGGAGATCTCAGACTCTTGCGACCTTTCACCGGGTATGAACGCGGGAAAGCGTTGAATGTATCACAATAGCGTAATAATGCTCCGTTTATCTAAGTCTGTGTCAACTCGCCTTAACGCCAACACGTACTCTCTTTGTTATTATCAGTGAGGGATATAATTCGAATACACCGCTGACAATTAGTTTCCCGCTTGATGCACCCTTTGATGCCTCATCCAATCATATCAGAATTTGATATTATTTTTGCTGGGGGTGAGTGATACATCTCGCATTGTAGTGATTATCTTGACAGAACGTTGTATCATGGTTCAGGCGGTACCACAGCTTGTGTTGTCGCAGGCCGCCTGGCTGCATGGGATCCCTCGCTTAGTATCTTAATTCTCGAAGGGGGCCAACACACGCTCAATCAAGCTGCGCATGTGCAGCCTTACCGGTATACAAGCCATCAGGCGCCTACGAGTACCACCATGACATTCAACGTTGGAAATCCAAGTCCACGTCTCAACGGCCGTGCTCCTATCGTTCCATGTGCACATTGCATTGGTGGAGGCTCAAGTGTGAATGGTTCGTAGCGTTCTTGCACTAAATAGCATGACTTTGATACGTTGACTCGGTCAGCTATGTTTTACACTCGTGCGCCTGCCTCAGATTTTGATGACTGGGGAACCGAAGGGTGGGAATCTAAGAACTTGATCCCTCTCATGAAGAAGGTCCTCGATTGAATCGTCTTTATATTTCTCAAGCTGAACTACTTATCGCTTAGCTGGAGACATATGAGGTGCAGCCCGATCGCCCAACCCATGGGTACAGTGGACCTATCAAAGTGTCCTCTGGTGGATACAAACTAGGTGCCAGCGAAGAGTTCATCCATGTTGGCACAACGTATCACAAGAGGCAACAAGTCGAAGATACTGATGATTTAGAAACATGTAACACATACAGTGTGCGCCTCACGAATTTCTTTCTGCGGAGTCTGCTCACGAGATCCATTTCAGCCATGGGCGAAGTGAGCTTGTGCTGTCATCTATTGTAAATTGGGCTCATAGATGAGAAGGTACATCGACGGGACAACTGGAAGACGTTCTGATGCGGCTCACCACTATGTCTACAACCAAGCTCACAATGCAAATTTGAAAATATGGGTTGGCAAGCGCGTGAAGCGCGTAATATTCCAGTGAGTGTTGCACATTCAAGTTGGATTGCAACCTTGCCGATGTCTTGTTTGAATAAAAGAGATAAGCGTGCCGTAGGTGTCGAGTTCACCAGCGACCTAGTGTCTTGCCCAGATGCGGGTCAGTCATCAAGCATCGTGAGAGCATCAAAGCTTGTTGTTATCTCTGCTGGGGCATTCGGTTCGCCGGCCATCCTCGAGAGGTCTGGGATCGGTGCCGAAGCTATTCTCGAGCGGTGCAATATCGAGCAGCTGGTGGACTTGCCTGGCGTCGGAGAAAATTATCGAGGTCCGTGTTCAACCATTTTATTTCATGATGTTAACTTAGGGTTAATAGATCACAACGGCGTCTTTGTTCCATACTTTGCTGCTGACGAAGCTATTACTATGGACCCCCTCTGGCTTGGGAAGGAGAGTGTTGTCCAGGGTAAGCATGTTCTTGCTGTATTCCGGGTCCCTTCAAGCGCCCAGCAAATGTTTTAGAAAACCTGGCGCAATGGAAAATTGATGGCAAGTCACTTATTGCCCAAAAGTTGGTACAGAACCTTCAGTGCTAGTAACGTACTGATTAGCATCTCAGTGGCAGCGATGCAAAAATCAAATGGCGTCCTGATGACGACGAACTGAAAGCTATGGGTTCAGCCTTTCAACCACGTTGGAAAGAGTTCTTCCAGGACCGCCCAGATAAGGCTGTTGCAATATTTGCCCTTTGTGCAGGGTATGCACATTATTTTGCTTTGATATCGCACGAATGCTCACAATAGCCAGAACCGCTGGGTTACGCTTGCGTATCCTTCCTCCTCGCAATTACATGGTTGCCTGCTGTTTTACAGTACTACTCCCATATCTACTACCTCGTGATTTTTGTCCTGAATCTTCCAATAGCTGTATCCCGTGTCTGTCGGCAGTGTTCATATCAAATTGGACGAGAACGGCCAGGAAGGAATCGACTTCAATACAGGTTACCTGGATGAGTGAGTCGGTAATTTCAACTCACTGATGTGAGCTATGTGACCGCGACAATTTGCACAGTCCAACCGATATTGTACCTCTTAACTTTGGGTACAAAAAGATGCGCGAAATTCTTCGACGCATGCCTTCATACAGGGGTGAAGTCCCCGCCGGTCATCCCCATTTCCCAACGGGAAGCGCTGCAGTCTGCGGAGAAACGACCGGACCAGTGGACTTGAACGCGCCTGACTTAATCTACACAGCAGAGGATGACGAGGCGATCGATCGATACCATCGTGGTCGCAGTATGTCGCATCCCTATCGTTATGTTAAAATACTGAATTGATGCTCAGTGCAAACAACATGGCATTCGGTATGTACAGCTGAAACTTTCATGCTTTCACATGAGGTACCTGAGCCTTGCATGTGTAGCTCGGGACTTGCGCCATGAAGCCGAGGGCAGATCAAGGGGTCATTGACTCTCGGCTAAACGTGTACGGCGTGACAAACCTCAAAGTTGCGGACATGTCTATTGCGCCGAAAAATGTTGGCACAGTGAGTACTAGTCGGAGATCATTGACGTGCAGTCTAACCGTCTCTCTAGAACACGTATTCGACAGCGCTTCTCATTGGGGAGAAGGCTGCAATGATCATTGCTGATGACCTGGGTATTGAATGCAGACCATGCAGTGAGTTGTCGTGGAAAAGTCCTCGGTCGCGTCTGTGATTAGTAGGCGTCTTCGCAGGAGTGATCACGAGCATGTACTTTATGCGTCGATCATTGATACGCAATCAGTACGTATCTCAAAGTCTTGAGGACAGTAATTGGATTGCAAATTCTGGTAATAGTATATTAGTTTGCAGCTTTCTTCATACCCTCTAGCAAGTTGAAGGATCAGCACACTCTTAGTCTTTCTATTCCGCGCGTATTTTGCGTGCCAGTCAGTACTAGTAACTTCCCCTAGACAGTCTTGGGGGAGCTAGACTCAAAAGCACTTTGGGCGAGTTAGCAGCTAGTAACCTGGCTCAGCTCGGGGTGCACACTGCACGCTGTGTGACAGGCATATTAATGCCTTTGAACCATGTGCTCTGCTGTAAGAACCAACATCTAGAGCAGCCTCAATCATATCAGGTGCTGCATAGCAATACGACCAAGTTGCCTGCACATATGAACTGTACCATTCACACCCGTAGCTGGCAATTCCTGCAAAAACTCCTTGATACACCGCTGGAAGGTTCCTTCTTCATGGCTGCCAGGTATAATACATCAATAACTGGTCTCAGGGGAAATATAGGTATAGGCATTATGCACATATGGTAACACCGTATGGCAACAATTCAACTCGTGTCTACAGTAGCGACTGCAACTGACAGCCTCCCTTCTTCAAATGTCTTCTCCAGGAGCTCATTGAGTCTCGTCGTCCACTGCGCCGAGATTCCATGTCCCGTCCCTTCCCAGCAATGAAACTCGGCCTCAGGCATATGACGATGTAGATAACGACTGTTAGAACTACGTATTACGTGATCCTGGTCGCCTGTCAGGATGAGAACTTTAGGTATCGATGAGGATATCTTGCGCAACCGTGCAGGCGAGACATAGTGGGTAAGCCCCGCATATATCTGCGACAAAGCACCCAAAGGTGTTTGGGGTCGGGTGATCTTCAGACGCCGATGGTAAAACTTAAGGGAAATAAAGTCAGCCACTAACGTGCCATGAACGTATCACCATACTGACAGCAGATTGAACTTCTAAGTTAGTCCGTCCCTCTGGGTCATCTTCAGCCTTCTTTGCTAGCCACGGCTGAGGATACAGCATATCCATTACGATGGGAACCTTTACGTCAGGGTCCCCTGTCATTAATAGCCTACACATGAAAGGAATTAGCATGTGGACGTAGAGGGTGTATCATATCTGACCTTGTCATCGCCGTAGAACCTTTCAACTAGGAGAACTCAGTATGGATTTCATTAGTTACAAATAAAAAAAGACCTACAGGCGGCACATTCAGCCAGAATTGACAACCTGCTGTGGTGACAATCAAGCTCAGGGAAGTTATTCTATCGGGTATACGATCCGCGAGCTCTTGGGATACGGTGTAGGAACCACAATTTGATTTGAAAGACAATAAGAATACCTTGTGCTATCATTCCGCCCATCGAGAGGCCTACAATATGAACGCTACGTTCCTCGGTCCATTTCAGATAGTCGAGCAATACCAGGACGTCCTCAGCCATGCCGCTCGTTCTATAATTCGAAAAGAATCAATACCTATCAATACACATCAGCTAGAATCAAAGTAGAAACGCACGTGTATGGACCTCTCGGAGTTCCGCTCATACCCACGCCACGATTGTCGAGCACTAGTACCGAGTACTGGGGAAGTCTGCTGAAGTGTTCGACCTGGTATAACCATCCGAAGGATGTGCTATTAACACTACAAATGATGTTCTAGCAAACCTATAGTAAAGCCTTCAACTACATTGGACTCACCCCATGATAAAGACGATCTTCTCGGGTCCGGTGCCGTGCTGCTCATAGTACAAAGAGTGACTCTCAAACGGACCTTCCTGGCTGCGTAGTTGTGTTACAGGACAAAGACCTCTGCGAGTGCATGTGTCTGGGTCGAAAATTGTCTGATATTCGGGGCCCAAAACCTGGTCGTGCGCTACTGACATGGTTGTTTGGGAAGTTGACAGCTAGTGTTATGACCCGGATAGTACCCGTTGCTTATTATAAGTTGGACTTGAGCAAAGAAAGGACGGACTGAGAAATTGCCGTATCCATGATGCTACCGCGTCCTGCCAACACAGCAGTAGCTGCTATAGTCCAGGGTTCAGAAACATTTAATCCGGGGGTAATAATTACGGGCTCAGGTATTTTGCCGCATCACTGCCGCACCCATGATGTACTAATCAAAAATTATATTCAAGATCTTTATGGACGACGTAGACATATTATATACACATACAAGACAAGTGACTAGTACTTGTTGTGTGCGTGCGCCACGGATGTGATACGATGCAGCAAAATCCTAATATATAAAGGCCCAATAATTACTAATGATTCTGCTTGTGCGTGTTGTACACGTTACCAGACGAGTCGGATCATCCTCACTGTCAGCAACGAGCTCTTCTTTCTACTTTTTACAACATATATTGTCCTCACAGCCCAAGACTTTCACGAATCTAATTTTAGCTTCCCTAATGACTCCAACGTCTGTCTCCGGGGGTGAGTCGTACGCTTACTACTAGATCACTTGGCCCACCCGATACTAAGCAGCACTTTTTAGTCCCAGCCAAGTTGCTTGCTGTGTTCCCATTTCTCGCAGTCGCAGGCGCTTATGTAGTCATGGTTTGGTGTCTCCACGGAAATGGCCTGATTGAAAAGATACACGCAGGATGTGGCGCGCCAGTAGAGGGGGCATCGTTCCCAACGCGTATCTCATACACCAGTATCTCCCCTCTCGATTTCAACCTCTGCGCCATCGTTACGTTTTATCATGGCTTAATGAACACCACCTACCAACCACTTCTAATCCTCATGTCCACTACGCTTGCTGCAATCGCCATCATCCCTTTCGCAGAAGCCACTCGCGAATATCACCCTAAGCGGCTCAATATACCTGGGACTATTGGCATGATTTACCAGAACTGCAGCTCTGCAGTGGTCATGCCGATTTATTGGTTTGCTTTCGCGCTTACTGGTGGCACGACCCCTCGCAGCGATAGAATCAATCAAGGGAACGCAGAAGCACTTTTATTTGCCCTTGTTGTTGGCTATGCTATCCCCACTGCTTGCATGGTGGTTCTTGAAGATCCAGTGGTGACTGCCATATGGCAGTTCTTCCCTGTGTACATGGCAATCGCCCAGTGGGCACACTCCAAAATCCGACCCCCCTCGCATCACACTGGGTCGGGATACGGCACTGTTCAAGCCATGTACTTGCTTATATACGTCACTTCCGCTTATTTGCACGTTGCCCACATCTGGCCTCTTTTCAACAGTCCAACACTCGTCCAAAAGCTTATAATGCCCCCTACCTCTCTTTTGGACCCGTCAAATTCTATCAGTGAAGGTGTTGCAGCGTTCCTGAAGTGGGACATAGTATTTACAGCGGGCTCGACTTTTCTGATAACGCTGTGGTTCGCCAGAAGTCTAACAGGCTTAGCGGTGCTAATTTTGTGGCACGTGTCGGCTACTTTCTTAGTGGGACCCGCAGCTGCAATCGCAGGAGTAATGATGTGGAGAGAATCGACAATAAATGCACAGGCCATTGTCAAGGAAGAGAAAGCTCGATGATGGTTGTCACTAGGAGACCACACCGTATATAAATCTTGAGTAGTTTTTTTGAGAAAATGTTGTAGAATGCAGCAGATTTGAAAAGGCTCAAGCGCTCATGGACGGGCTCACGGGAAAGGTAGATGGAATTGCACGAGAACATACGTATAAGATTACTGTCCAGAAGACTGATCCGCCCGCGTTGCCATTGCTGCCTGCCCAGCGGCAGTCGCCGCCAGTCTGGACCGTTTCCTCTCGGCCTCTGATTACAGCAATCAGTGATCTTTAGCATTCAAAATCAGCATGCAGAATACATACCTGCTTCTTTCTCCCGCTCAATCTCGGCAACAATTGCTTCGATCTCAGGTAGCTCCAAGTGCTATTAAGTTTGTCAGCGACCAATGAATAATTATAAAATAAGATGAAGTCGAACCGTGACTTTGCCATAACTTTCCATGACACTGATCTCGATGTTTTTCGCTCCTGTCTGTACAACTTCAAGAAGACTTTTGACCGTCAGCTTTATGCTTTCTTCGCGAGTCATGCCATCTTTGTGATTTTTCTCAAGGAACTCGCGGACCGTTTTCGACGATCGACCAATTGCATTGGCCTACACAAAAGGTAGGCTATATCAGTCACGTACTATACAGTGGAGAATGTACTAACCTTCCATGCACTATAGATACCACTCGGCTCAGTCTGGTATAGTCTTGGTCGCGAATCATGTGGGTCAAACCCGATGATTAATGTTGAGATACCAAATGGCCGTACACCACCGGATTGTGTGTATTTCTGGGGGAGTATAGGAATGAGGGTCAACTCCATGCCAACAGCAATCGACTACTGACCTGCTGTATACCAGCAATGTGTCTTGTAATATACTCTACTGTGACGGGATCCTCTACGGTAAGTCGATGACTTTGACATTCTATCCGCGCTTTATCGATGAGGACTCTGCCGTCCGCGGTCAAGCCTGCATGATGTGAGATCAAACGATGCGACCGAGCGGGACATTCAGAAGCGTACCGGCAAATGCCAAGCAGATATGGTCATCAAGCATTACAACCTTTCTAACGGTACGGGGATCTTGGAGTTGCAAGACGGATTTCTTTTCGACGCCAAGGACGACCACATCATTACCCCGAACACCGACCTACCAGATCGACAATGAGCGCCACCATTAAGCTAAACAACGTCACAGTCTTACAGCACATGTTCCCTTGCGAACAGCTTCAAGGGCATACTCAACCTATAGAATAGATGGAGCAAAGATCACGGTCATTGAGACGCGACTTCACCGACCTGGAACAAGTGACCATCCGGAGAGAAGACAGTAAGTGCTGTACAGAGATCAGTAGTTGAGCTTGGCAGCTTCTGCAAATGTCAGAGACGCACCGCGATCGTATGACCTAGACATAGCTGCAAGCAAGTGGTGGATGTGATCTACAGAGGTGATACGAAGTCTTGTATGCTTGAACGCGCGTCGAGGCTGGCGTACGTTCGCTTAGTAAGCGGATCCATTTATATCGAAAACACGACCAACTAATTACAGTAACATTTAACCGCCAACAAGTTAAAGTGCAGTACTTACTTACTTGCGCGACACGAATCGGATGGACTCGGACGATGAGATAGAAATTATTGGCGAGAGCAGCTCACGGCCATCGTGAGTGAAGCCATCAAGTATATCGTTATCCTGCGCAAGCTTATTCTGGCGATACCACCAGCTGCGCTCAGGCTGGCCCAACACTGTGCCAGTTGTGTGACATGAATTTTGACTCCGAGAACCTCAGCGAACTTCAGCGCCAACAGCACTATGAAACGCACTTCAACTCCAGCTCTAGTAGTACGCATCTACTGACATGTTTTATGCTCCGCGTTCTCACATCTTTGATAGAACAACCTAGTAATAAATTCAAGAAACCAGCAATACCCAAAGACTTGTTCAAACCTTGCAGCTTCCAACTACCACTTAGGAAGAAACCGGCAGATGAATTTTGGTATCCTACCCTGTCGAGACCGCCACCTGATAACTGCTGTCCAGGTATGTCTATTAGAATTCACGTGGACTGCGTCCCCTGAGTATAATTACACCAGGCTTGATTCCGCTCTTGAAACATGCTTTGAAGCAATATCATACCAAAGGAAACACACGCAGAGCTGTTCTCTGCCATGAATCAGCTACTCATATCTGTGTCGAGGCATTTGACCGCCGATGGGGATGTGGGTAGGTATAACACCAGTCACTGTTTCTATCTAATTGACGTGCCATATCAGATATCGCAATTTCCTCATGGCATGTGCTGCGCTCATGGATCAGCAAATCCAGAACATATATTTTGCCTTACTAGATGACCCTTTCCCCCCTGGTGTTCGCAATTTGCAACGTTGGATAGAAGCTGCGTGGAAGGAAGGTGCCTCTGTCGGCATCTGCAAGATTATCACAACACTGAGTTACCTTTGGCAGGTTATGACCGTGAAGGTGCCAAAGACTTAAGGAACCTGGTAGACACAAATAAATGGATTGGTACAGCAGGTACGACTAAAAAAACTGCTGCTTAGGGTTCCGATTGATTCATAAGCGCGCTTTCAGAACTCTATACTGCATTCACATTTCGTGGAGTCCCGTACGTCATTCCCTCTTTGTAAGACAACGTGCTGAGTCTTCATACAGCTCGCAGCTCGTAGATTTTGATCTTTCAAAAAGCGAGAAAGGTGACTTTCAGTTCTACATTGGCGAGTATTAGACTTATCCCACTGTCAGGGATTCAAGTTATGATAGACTGGATTGTCCAATATTTTTCGCCACCAAATCCAAAACAAGGCACGGTGACTGATGTCCTCCGCGGCGCTTCACCTGTGATTGCAACGGACAAAATGCCTTTAGTTCTGCAGTTCAATGGCCATTCTCAAACAATCATTGGATACGAGATCTCAAAGAATGGGGACACCAATCTTCTCGTATTTGACCCTTCAAGGTAAATTTGCTGTTGTGAGGTGAAGACATTGATGCAATATCCCCAAGACCACCTAGACTGAGCATGCGTCGAGCTGCAATAGCTGGGCCTTCTTCTGTTGTATGGGAACAGTCTCGGACAAATCAAGTGCTACAGTCTGTCAAACATCCAACGTCTAACGGACGCTCCTCGAAGCTGAAACGTCCTTCATCGTCTTCCGATATACAACAGCACAAACGAAGTAAATCATCTGGATCAGACGACGAGATCATCATCGTGGAAGACTCTGACACACCCAGGAATGACCAGGGATCGGGCATTTCTCCAGGTCAAACGCAGCCATTGACACTTGACCCTAGCAACGCCGTTAATCACTTTCGGCTCGGCACGCGTAAATTGCAGTGCGTATTCTTCTATTGCACGGACCATGCGGACTCAGTGACCTGTCCTCAGGCGCAAGCAAAACTACCAGATACTGTACTTTCCCATGACCGATCCATGGTCCATTGAAGAACGTAACAAGCGAAAGGTAGTAACGAGCATCTCGTGTGGTTGATTTTTCTTGTTTTGACCCAACAGTCATGTTTCCCAGTAATTCTTCAGCATCACACCTCGTAATTTGACATGTTTTTGATCACGCACCTGTACAGGATAGTCGATGGTGGAGCATGACTGTGTAAATCCAGGCGAGATGAACATTGAACCGATATTCTTTTTGTCCCCTCAATTTATTCGGGCACATCTACGTGTGATCCGCTGACGTGTCTGCTCTTTCCGCAAAGTTTCGGGGTGACAAACTATGCAACAGAGCCGCCTCCTTCCGCCTCCGCTTCAGGCTTAAATACTTTCATAGCGTTGCCCAGGCATCATTATACGAGATTCTCCGTTGCAGAATCCATATCATCTATTGCACAAATAATGCGTTTTCCCTTCCTTTGCGTTGTTACCGCTTTGATGCTATGTGTCTGCCAGTGCATGTGCGCACAAGGGCTCGCATTGCAAAGTATCACGTGATTGCTGTCATCCCCTTTTTTGTTGGGCGTTCGATGCGACTCATGTGAGTATGATCGGTTTACTTTTTTGCGTTCAGAATTCAATCTCTCGACTCATCGTTTGCCTTGTGATACCAATAGCCTTATAGATACTGCGATGACCCCCCTCCGGATCCCCCTTCCCGTTGAGGATGACACGTCGTGACAATAAGTGAGTTCTACTTTCGCATTGAAATGCTATTGGTACCGTGATTAATGGCACAATATATAGCTCCTCGCTAAGTTCATCAGTATGGTTGTCTCTGGAGTCTGAGTGAATATCCCTGATGTTCAGGGATTCGAGTTGAAGAATGCGTTAAACAGATGTGATATAGTAAATGCCTAGAGGAATTCTTAGTGACATGCAAGTGCTGTCAAGCTTTGTATGAAAATTTGTCAGAGTTCCTGGTCCTTTAAGATCTACTCTGCAACTACAATATTTCTAGTATCCTGACGTTGTTCATGCATCATGGTTGAATTATGGTTGTATCGTAATTAGATGTTACATATATCGATAGACCTGAAAAGTAGTAGACTTGGTCGCTGTTATTTATTATCGGAGAGATGCCCGCTCTAGTATATGAATCGTCCCATCTATTCATCTGTAACTAATTGAAAAAGAAATTGGACGTCGCCGTCAGAGATGCAGAGTAGTTAAGGCAGTCTAGCAGGCCCTCCCCACAGCTTTCCGACAGGTAAGTTCTACGGTTCAGCGCACCAACTTGAAAGTATCGACTCCGACTTACGCAGTACTTCGCTGAAGTTTTGCAGAAAGCTACAAGCGACCTCAAAGTTCATTAATCATTTGCAAGCCATTGCGAAGGACCGCCGTGTAGGCGCGATGCTCATCATGCCGAATAACGATCGTGATCACGGTGCAGTGCGGGCACAACAAGGAGATTATTTCTAGAGTTCAACAGTTGACTGAGGGAGACCAGCATTTTTTGACGAAGGCTATTAAGCAGATATGTTAATTGCACGTGTGGAGTATTCACGATTATTGATACGTGCCCAGAGGTGTTGAGCAAGATTAGGGCTTCGCAAGGGGATATCGGTGTCGGAGAAGCCAGCATGATGAAGTCGGTCATTGGTTTTGAAGAACGAGTCATCCGTAGTGATGTAATATCCAGAGACGACC